GGAAAGTGGAACGTGCTGGGAAAAGCTGGACTTGGGAGCCACGCGGCATCTTCTTCTCAAAACGCCTGCAGTAGGGCGTCAGCAGACCAGCGCGGGGTGGAGGAACAGGCACCAACGTCTGCCCATCCAGGAAACTCACACACACACAATCTAGAGTCGAATCCCCCGCCCTGCCCTTCTCGCCATCCGTGCAAGGTTAACACGGGGGATTTTCCAACCGGTGGGGCTGCAGGACCTATTCTTCTTAGGACGTGTGACCCTGGAATTCCTGCCTCCCTGTTCCCCCCAAACGTGGGTGGGGGAAAAAGTCTTTACGTAGACGCAAGGTGGTGTGAACTGAGTTACAGAAAGTCCACGGGCCTTTTCATTTTTTAAAAAACATGAACCCCAACGCGGGTGAGAAATGGCACATGGCTGGGCTGAAGAGGTCAGTACCACGGATCAGACCGAGAGCCCATCCAGGGGCAGGCCTTCGGAGGACCGAGGCACTGCCCTCTGGGTGGTCAGCCACAGAAAGCTGAAACTCATAGCTAGAAGATGGGAAACTTCTGCACACCCTTCCCAAATATTATTTTATTTATGCATTTGTCTCATTTGTATAACCGCCCATCTCACACAAAGCGAGCCTGGGCGGCATACAACAATTAAGAAAACAGCAAATAAAAAAAAAAAAGCAATCATTATAAAAAGATAAAAAGTAATTATGAAAACGGGCACATTATCGAAAAGATAATTTAGAAGGCAGAGCCAGCTGGTGAACATCTGGATGTTGCAGCCGGCCAAAAAGCAAACCTGGATTTTAAGCCTGTGCCCGGGCAGGGTGTGAACCAGACTTTTTTACTGCAGAAACTTCACCCCTGCTCAGAAAACGCGAGCACGCTGGTCGAAAGAAAGCACTCTCTTTCCGAGAGTGGGGCTGAGGCAAGGAAAGGCTTTGGAGCACAAACCTGCTGCTTTCATGGGAAGTTGCACACCACGGTGCAGAGAAACGTGCCCCGGACCAGGTGCGAGTCTCGCTAGCCCCCAAAACAAGCTCACCTTTCCTTTGGCTTAAGCTACCTCACAGGGCTGTGGCGGAGAGATGTAACGGGGGGGAGAAAGGAAGACCCGTTGAGAGGGAGGGCAGGTCTGGGTGTACATCACTAACGCCCAGCTGGGCTTGGGAAAGTTTGGAGAACGTGCAGGGCGAACAAAGCAGACCTGTCTTCTTTGGGCCACACACCTTTTCCAGGAATTGCTGCCCTGCAGCCGATCCTGGACAGGACGGGGCTGCTTTAAAGAGCTGCGGTCAAGAGAGAGGGCTGCGTGCCCGTGTGCTCCACGGCGCCTTTCGGGGATCGGATCGGAAGTGCCCCCCGTGCCTCCGCCTTGCCCCGCCTCGCCCTCCTACCTCCACGATGCTCCGGAGATCCCGGACATAAGCCTGCTCGGTCTCCACGATCTCCAGCACCACCCGGTCCAGATGGGAGAGCTTGATCCGGCGCTCCTTGGCCCGGCCGGGACCAGGCGCCCAGCCGCAGCACGGCTGCCCCTCTCCCGGGGTATCTGCCAGCCGGTCCAGCAGGGCGACGGGGGTCAGATCCAGGCTGATGTCGCTGCCGTTTTGCTGGGAGTAAGGCGGGGGGCAGCCCCCCAGCCCGATGCTACTGCCAAAGGCACTGGAGCCGTCCTGCAAGGAGGCCGAAGACGCCGAGGAGCTGAGGCTGACAGGGCGGTCGCTGTCCGAGCACACCGTGTTCACGGAGGTGCAGCTGCCCAGAATGGGGTCGGACGCCATCTTGGTCCCGATTCCAGCCAGCGAGGAGGTGGAGGGCGGCCTGGGGGCTGCTGGGCAGGGAGGGGAAGCCAACAGGTCCTGCAGTCACTTTGTGCCCAAACACAAAGAGCCCAGCCCTGCAGCCTGGCAGCGCGTGGGGAACAGGCGAGGAGCCCCTCAGAGGTTGGGGGGCGGCTGGCTCCCCCCGCCCCGGCTCTTTTTGCTCTTAAAAAAATAAAAAGCAGCTTCCCGCCTCTTCACATCCTTTTGTGGTTTTCTTCTCACCTTCTGAAGCTGTGGTTTCCCTCGCAAGGCATCCTGGGAGGAGCAGCGTGCAAAGGAAGGGCCCCCCCCCTGCACCTTCTCTGCTCTCCACCTCCCTCCTGCCAGGCAAAGC